TATCTATCTATCTATCTATCTATCTATCTATCTATCTATCTATGGTATTCATCTTTGTTCGGGTATTTTCCCATGTCATTGTAGTTGTGCTTTTAAAGTTGTAGCAACGTTTCGGCAGAATCTCATCTGCCATCATCAATAGAGATTGGATGTACCCATGGTTGGAGGGTGGTCCGATTATGTTCCAGGTGGTCCTTTTTAACCTTTTGGTTGTGGGAAGCCAAACACACAGATCATATTTCTATCTCTTGATGTACATTGGGCCCTGTTCCCGTGAAAACATATCCCAATTCAAATTTGCAAAAAAAACTGCTTACGTGTATATCTGCCAATCTAACACCCAGCAAAGAGCATGCTCCAAAACTCTCCCATGCCACAGACAAGACTCTGAGTCACGGGCCACAACAATAATGAATTGCAAAATAATAACAAAAGCATCCAAGGAATGAATATGCACATTCAGACCCCAAGTATGGACTAAAGCTGGTGTGTGCAAACAAGGAGGAGATTAGGAAACCTAGAGACTTATTAAAGCCACAAAGTTAAGTTTCCAGGAAATCGAAAGGTTTCTCAGATCCGCTGAGAAGATTCCTGTGTGTTGGCTTTTAGGAATTAAGTAGTTTAACTGAAACGCCTCGTGCAGACCTGGTCCTTTGCACTCCTGACACAGGCTTGAGGTTCGTACAATGTCATCTGCATTTGGAAGGAATTTTACAAGAAACGACAGGATAGGCCTTCCTTCCTTTCTGCACTTCTGAAATTCCCAATTTACCTCGTGGGAAGACCCCCGGGTCCATAAACGTGGCCATACTGAAGTTTGCCAGGACAAACAGGAATACGAGCCCATTGTAGAGTGGAACAGCTGGGGAGATGGCTCTGGTCAACCACGGGCACCTGGGCGAAAGAGGCACAAAAGACACGAGGACGTTATTTGTCAAAGCCAACAGCTGACAATTTCCCACCAAACGGAGCAGGAGGCAAAAGGTTAATTGTGCCACGGCAATCTTCTGCCTGCTTCTGATTTCTTAAAGGAGCTCCCATGATGATAATTTCAGGTCCAGAAGGTGAAAAGGGGAATCAAAATGACAGGACACCGGAGGTGGGTATTCAGCCGGATCTGACCGGTTCTGAAGAACCGGTAGTGGAAATTTTGAGTAGTTTGGAGAACCGGCAAATCCCACCTCTGACTGGCCCCGCCAACCCCATCTCTTCTCTGCCTCCCATTGAGTCCCAGCTGATCGGCTGGGTCTCCTTTGGTTGCCCTGCACAGGAGAACGGAGCTGGAAAGCAGGTTAGTGGGGTGGGGAGCAGAGGTGGGTATTCACCCGGTTCTGACCAGTTCTGAAGAACTGGTAGTGGAAATTTTGAGTAGTTTGGAGAACCGGCAAATCCCACCTCTGACTGGCCCTGACCCCATCTATTTTCTGCCTCCCATTGAGTCCCAGCTGATTGGCTGGGTCTCCTTTGGTTGCCCTGCACAGGAGAATGGAGCTGGAAAGCAGGTTAGTGGGGTAGGGAGGGAATGGGGATTTTGCAGTATCCTTCCCCTTCCTCGCCCACCAAGCCACACCCTCAGAACTGGTAGTAAAAAAATTTGAATCCCACCACTGCTACAGACCCCTCACACCCTGAACATAAACTGTTTCAACTCCTACCTTCAAAACAACTCTGTAGAGCCCTGCACACCAGAACAACTAGACACAAGGAGAGTTTTTTCCCAAACGCCATCACTCTGCTAAACAAATAATTCCCTCAACACCGTCCAACTATTTACTAAGTCTGCACTACTATCACTATCACTATTAATCTTCCCATTCTTCCTTTCACCCATCTCTTCCCACTTATGACTTTATGGCTGTAACTTTGTTGCTTGTATCCTTATGATTTATACTGACTGTTTCCTAGTACGATTTAATTGCTTATTTATTTAATTTATATTGACGCCTGTTCGCCCATGGCGATTTATTGTACCCTATGACTATCATTAAGTGTTGTACCTTATGATTCTTGACAAATGTATCTTTTCTTTTATGTACACTGAGAGCATTTGCACCAAGACAAATTCCTTGTGTGTCCAATCAAACTTGGCCAATAAAGAATTCTGTCTGTCTCTCTGTCTGTCTGTCTCTCTGTCTGTCTATCTATCTATCTATCTATCTATCTATCTATCTATCTATCTATCTATCTATCTATCTA